AAAAAAAAAAAAAGAGGATTAACAGGGCAGCTCACTCAGCCTAGTCACAAGCTGTGAACAGCAACGAAACTGAGCGAACAAGGGCAAGACTGAATCTTTGTGACCCTCATCCCATGTGTCTCCTGACTGTTTACCAAAAAGCTAACCGCAAAAATGCCAGCAATGCACCAGGCTGGGTCCTTCCTTCCAGCTCAGCTTACCTAAGATGGAAGGCAACGATCAGATGAATGTGAGAATGAATCAACAGGGATAAAATTAAACTCTGGATGTAGAATGTGCGGTTGGGTTGTTCAGAACTGGGGATGGGAGGAAGGCCAGGTGAGGAATTCATATCAATCATTCTTTGTGTAGCTCGTCTGGTCTTCATTTTCAAGGGAGGGTTTTTATTATGTTTGGGCAGCAAACTGACCAGGGGTCAGCCTGGATGAGCAGCCAGAATTAAATACCGTAATCCTTTTCTGGTTGACGCATAGGCAGCCCAAAACAGCACAGGAAAACCACACACACACGGGGCATCCTCCTTCGTGTCTCCCGTTTTCGGTTGTGTTGCTAGGGTTGTTTTTCTACCCAACAACTTGGTTTTATTTTCAAACAAGTGTCTCAGAGCAGTTTGGAGGGGGGGGCGATCCTTTGATTTTAGGGGTCTTTGACGGGGGGGGGGGGCTCCTTGTCTTAACCGCCATTCAGTTAGTGAGGGTCTGAAGATACAATGGCACTGAAAAAGGTTATTTAGGGTCACTTTTTTTCTTTTCTTTTCCGTCCTGCCTGTGAAAATGGCCACACGCATCACAAATTTCACCAGGGAGCTGAATTGGAGTGGAAAACATTGGCAGAAATCCCACTTATTTATCCATAAATCTCTCTCTCTTTCATCTGAATCTTTATCTATCTATCATCTATCTCTATGTCTATCTGTCTGTCTACCTATCTATCATCTATTAATCTATCTACATCTAAAGCTATGTCTGTCGGATTATCCATCTATCCATCTATAGCCTGTCTGTATGTTCATTTGCCTGTTTCTTTCATTTTCTCTATCTTAATCCATGCATTAATAGTTTGTCTGTCTGTCTGTCTGTCTGTCTGTCTGTCTGTCTGTCT